ATATCTTAAGATGTAAAGTATCATTTCCAATCACAAAACATTCATTAGACACGAACACCTACCTCTAGTGACCAAGGTAGAGTTATGTGTAAACCCAAGTTAACACCTATCTCTTGTGTTTAAAAAACATATCTTAAAATGTAAAGTATCATTTTCAATCACAAAACATTCATTAGACACGAACACCTACCTCTAGTGACCAAGGAGTCTCATTTTTCTTCCGCTACTCGAAACACATTTCACAGTTTTCTTCATTAACTTTTAGTGGATGCACCTGAAATACGGTATAGAAAGTGAATAATGAGTTAAGGAAAATTTCACCCTCATGACTAGCACTTTATTATTTAGTCACATAATCAATTAAACATATAAAGGGTGGGGACTGGGGCACTTAGCCTTGGTCCTCCCTATGTATTGGTATATAGGAGTACATTAATGGTGTTTGAGGCACAGTAAGAATCAGATAGGTTTCAGTTTTTGCCAACGTAGGAACGTTTCATTGTAATCCCTCTTAATGTGACAGACATTTGCCAAAAATGTTTATAATGTATAATTGAAGCTACACTTTCTCGCTGTTTGCTGATAAAAAATGGTACAACTAACTAACTTGTATTTACATTCTTATTTTATGGCCTTATCCTCACAGTGATGTAGGAAGGAGTTTCAAAGTGGACTAGCCATACATAATTTACAATGACAGATTGAAAGTATAAAGAGTTGTTAAAAACAGCTCCCGTGTTGCCAAAGGCAGCTCAGTCTGGGAGCAGCCCCCCCAAAATTATTATAATGATATAATTTACAGTTGGTATATAAGTCAATATGTAAAACTGGGGGTGCTGTAGAACCCCAGGTTCGGACGCCTCACTCACTGTAAGAACGGTAGATTTGCTATTTTGCCAATTAAAATGGTAGTTAAATTTACCGATAAATGAGTTATACAACGCCTGAATTGATTTACGTGGAATACAATAATCAAATTAATTCAAGAAAAAGTAACACGGTTTCATTTTTATCAATGTAAAGGTATGGGTTTCATTAATATAAACACGTCTTGGAGGACATTAATAACGAGGTCTTTGTAACGTTTCAGGGTTTATGTTGTATTGATATAACATTTCCGTGTGAAACAGTAACACGGGTCTTTGTAACGTTTCAGGGTTCATGTTGTATTGATATAACATTTCCGTGTGAAACAGTAACACGGGTCTTTGTAACGTTTCAGGGTTCATGTTGTATTGATATAACATTTCCGTGTGAAACAGTAACACGGGTCTTTGTAACGTTTCAGGGTTATGTTGTATTGATATAACATTTTCGCGTGAAACAGTAACTCGGGTCTTTGTAACGTTTCAGGGTTCATGTTGTATTGATATATCATTTCCGTGTGAAACAGTAACACGGGTCTTTGTAACGTTTCAGGGTTTATGTTGTATTGACATAGCAGTTTCGTGTGAAACAGTAACACAGGATTTTTTGCTTCAGTAGTAAACACCATAATTTCAACTGTACTAAGCATAAACAGACAAAGTCTACAACAATAATAATTAAGTACAAAACATTTCTTACCACGTGATATTCAAACAATATAATAACTCAAACAATTTACTAGCGTCCAGACCAAAAGTATCGTTAACAGTACTGGTATGAAATCTATCTTTTATATTATTGATTTCTAACATTACGTTTTTCTTCTTCGTTTATTACACAGAATTGTCTTTACTATCTTTTAAATTATTTTGTTCTGCTCTGTGTAGTAAGCTTACGTTTCGTAACAAGCTTCTGTCTACTTCTTGTAGTATTAATATATGCGCTATGTTTGTTATTTACCGATAACTACGCCACATTATGGGCGTTAGTATTTCAAAATACAGTCTTATTTACTGTAACGTTGAGCCTGGTGGTTACGGCGTTCGACTCGGAATCTGGGTTGGCACGTTCGAATCATGGGGGCATTGTAATGTGACAGCCAATCACACTGTTTGATCATGGTGTTGACTATCTGCCTTCCCTCGTTAAGATAGCTCTCGAGTATCTTTTCGCAAAATTCAACAAACCCCTCTACGTTTCTTTCTAACACTACAATTTATTAGGCACGAATTTTATATTTCATTTCACTGCTTAGATTCTTTCAGATCAAACCAAAGTAACATTAAATATAATAGTACTGTCTGTTGTACGTAACTACTTCTATATAAATATAATAGTACTGTCTGTTGTACGTAACTACTTCTATATAAATATAATAGTACTGTCTGTTGTACGTAACTACTTCTATATAAATATAATAGTACTGTCTGTTGTACGTAACTACTTCTAT